GTTTAATTATTTCAAGAGGTGTTATATTGAGGCTGCTTGCTCCAGAGAATAGGACCTAAGACAATGGATTCAAACTGCAGGAAAAGAGATTCTACCTCAACATTAGGAAGAAATTCCTGATAGTAAGAGCTAGTCAACAGTGGAACACACTCCCTGGGAAAGTGGTGTAGTCTCTTTCTTTGGAGGTTTTTTAACAAAGGCTAGATGGCCATCTGTCAGGGATGTTTTGGTTGTGTGTTTCTGCATGGCAGAATGGGGTTGGACTGGATGCCCCTCTGGTCTCTTTCAACTCTGTGATTCTATGACTCCTGTGTATGTCACCAACAGGATTCTTAGTTCAAATGGACTTTTGGACTATTGCAGCTTTGACACATGACACTTGATGGCTTAAACATCAGTGGAGTGCTGTATCCATTTCAAGTTTTAGTCTGAACTTTAAAGGAGATGTTCCAGCTGCTGAATTCTATCCCCCAAAAAAGCTATTGGTCATCTGAATCACCCCCAAACCTCTCTCTGGCAGTGAATGGCTGCAGCCTGAGCAGCTATGGAGACCACTTGGTGACCTTGAACAAGTCCCATTCTCACAGCCTAGGATGAAGGCAAGGGTAAACCCCATTTAAAGTACAGTGATCTCTCCAGATTCATGGGGGATACATTCCGAGGCCCACCGCGAATCTGAAATTTCAAGTCCCATTGTCCCCAATGCTGTCAGCCATCAGACTCACTTTCCCAGCAGCGTTTGGGGCCCAGCATGCACACGCCCTGCCCCCTCTGCTGCAGCCAATGGGTGTGCAATATTTCAGTTGGCTGTGGCAGAGGGGACAGGGTGTGTGCACGCTGGGCCCTGAGCACTGCTGAGAAAGCAAGTTCTGATGGCAGCCAGGGCTGATTACAAGTACAAGGCTCCAATTAAAGTACCCAGCACTGGGGGGAAGATGCAAATAAGGGAGGGAGGGAGGAGCAAGAGGGAGGGAGCTATGGCCTTGGTTTCACTAATGATCAAAACCGTGAGTGTCAAGGCCCCGAATCCAGAGGGACCACTGTACACTGCTCCTCCCTTCCCATGGTTTGACAGCAACCAGGGATAAGTATTGAACAGTGCCCAGAGCTAGTGAATAGCTATTTCCAACCAAATGAAGAGTTATTTGTGCACATAAACCTGACTTACATGTATGCATATCACCCATGGGATTCCAGCCCTCACCTCAGAAATTCACACACCTTCAAAGCTCACTGCACTTTTGATATAAATGAAATCATTTGTACATTTTTTTAAAACTGTGAACTACTAAAAATGTACACAACTGAAAAGTGCATTGACATAGTTTAGTCACTGAAGTAAGCATGCAGACATACATGTATATAAAGCATGAGAATAACTGTGTACATTACACAAAATGCATACAAAAAATGCATATATATTTGCATTTGAGGAGAAAGAGCCATATCTTGCAAACAAGGGATAGGACAGGAATGTGGGTGAAATTTAGAGAGTTGTAATTAATTTAAAACAGAGATTTTCTGTATCCCTATTTACTTCACAGGGTTGTCCTGAGGATAAAGTAGGAAGAAGAAGAGAAGTACATGCTGTCTTGAGCTCAGTAGAAGAAAGCTGAGGCATAAACGTGACATATTAGAAAATAATATAATAAATATATGCAAATCCACTGTTGCCAAAGGCACCCCCCCCCCCAATTGATCAGGGTTGGTGTGTTTTATATCAATATGTCAGTGGAAGGAAGGTCAAAAGGAGTACAGGTAAAGAATGGGAAACACATGCTGATGATGCTCTTTGCAATCACAAATTTGGAAACAGAATGCTTTTCGCAGGATGAAACACAGAGCTTTGAAGCATAGTTTTGATCTTCTCTAACAAAAATATTCCTCCTAGGAAATTCCTGTATTGTTT